CATCACGTATTTACAGATTTGACACGCGAGCATGAAAGCATAAAGTTTCTTAGTGACTTACACGTTTATCATGGAATCAACTCTCCAATATGTGTACCTATTGCAATTATTATTTGAGTGCAACGCGATGCGGACATCTCGATCGTTGCGTCCTTACGAGCTTAAGCTTTTTTAGCGCGAAACTAAGCTAATCGATTGTACGCGAACTACTTTTCCACTTTAGGCCGACCTTCGGGCGATATTAGAATTCTTGTAAATCCGGGCGAACTCGGCCTCTCTTTTCTAATATTGGTAACATTCACCTGCACGCGAAGCATGAGTGCACCTATCCTGTAAACTGGGACAAATTGGAAATGTCACATAATGACGAGGACGCCGACGATGATATCGAGTCAACGGTGTCGAGGTTGGAAAGAGTCAACGTTTTCTTTCCGGTCGATTTCGCATCAACTTGCAAAAACAAGTTTAATTTTTAATGCGAAATACGCTCACATAGATTATTACAGATTCTAACATGCTCGAATGTCTACATTCATCTTGGCTACACTTGCACCAAATTTTTGATCTCTCTCTCATCTCTATTTTCGGATTATAATTAGGATTACATATTTCTTCATTGCGCGAGATAACGAGAGATAATAAAAGAATTCAGAGGTACAATTGTCTCCTTCAGTCATGATTAGATTAATCGCTCTTGACGTTGTTCATTTCGTTATCCCATATATGAATTTAGTTTATCATTATATGCTTGTTATAGAAAGCATCGTGATAAGGTTTAAGGGCGTTCGAAGAGTTTTTCTTTAATTAGTTGGTAATGCTACTCGAATCCTTCTTCGGGGATTATCATACACACTTTGGTATTTATCTAATCTGTATAGCTAGCCAAATATGTATTTGAAGCCCTTCACTTCGACACTTCAAGTAATTCTTCTGCAGAGAAATAAAAACATGCGGCGACTATCTAAATCCTGAAGAAACGAATATTTTTAGAAGTTGACGATTCACGATTTGCAAATGTTTGTCGCGAAAAGGTTCAATTGTCTTCAGTCGAAGCTCTCGATGACATATCGAGGAACGATTTGTCTTTCTCGGATAAATTATTCATTTGGATTGTTAACTTCGATTCCGTAATGATGTATGATGTTGACGCAAATAGGGCGTACGATAGCCCATTTCTAAGTAGAACAATTATTTTTGACAAAGAACGGGAGCCATACCTCGTGGAAATTAAAACAAAAATTAATTTTTAAATTTTTATAAACTTACACAAGTTTGCATTTTAAATGTTTACGTTACTTTATTTTACATTTTCCGACAAGGTTATCCATAGATTGCATTAGAAGAGAAGTAAGAGTCGATAAATGATCGAGAATGATTGTTATTCCAGTCCGAGCAAGCGGTAATATCGCCTTTCTGATCGTTAAATGGTTTGCGTTCCACTCGTATTCCTCATTTTATCTTAGCGGTACTTTAAGTGTCACCTAGATTGAAAAGCGCTGCCTTAAGAGCTTCTCGCAGTGCATCGCTTTCAAATAGTATCATAAAATTCATTTTATGTTGCTATAAATTTCCTAAGTAAAATTGATCTGCGCATTAGATAATTATCAACCGACTCTCATCCATTCACTCATACAAATACGCTTCGCAGCTTGCGTGAATATGACAACTCAGCTCATACATATCCATCATTTAGCTCTTCGAATAAATAGAGAATTAAGTTATATTCCGAGCTTGTTTTTCCAACTCGGCATCCCGAAATATTACGTATTACCGATATGCAACGACGTAAAATAATAAAAAATAGATTTCTTTTAATTATAAGAATAAATGTTTCTCCAAGATAGGGAAAGAAATAAACGACTGTATATCTTGGAAATTTATTCTGGTGTAATTAAGGAGAGTATTTTTATTCAACAAATTTGTTTGATTTTCTTTACGACGTCCCAGGAAAAATCATCGGATTATCACTTTCCTCCAATTCTCGTTATTCGACATGAAAGAGACAGTTATTCCTTTGAGACACTCAACTTTCACAGATATGCTCGAGACCTCCTCCGTTGGTTTCCCGCAACGGCTGTGCTCGTAAGTTAATGAACGTCGCGATACATCGCCACCACTCTCGTCTTATCGCAAATATCAAGCGGCGAGGGCAAACTTCGTGTTTTGCATCAAGCAAAGTTTTGCTCTTTGCGAACTTTAAGAACAGCCTTTCGCGGCTTTCACTTTAAGCAGATATATCTCGAATATATATATTTATATAAACGACGAAGAAATAACTCTATATAACTGTAATGATTCGCGATAGTAACTGATAATATATTCATTTACAGTAATGCAATGGTATATTAATTTAATTAAATTTTCATAACTTCTCTTCATATTTTATCTATCTATCTACATAATTATATATACTTTACTGTATAAGCAAGTTTGTAAATTGTTCGCACTTTTTCACACTTTATATGAAGTATCAAGGTATTATTTCATATATATTTTGTAGCTGATAATATCGGCGAATACATAATGCATGATCGCGTTTTTGATACTCATTTCGCAATTTCGCGAGTATGACGAAACAATCGTCCGACAGCATGTTGCGGAATGAAAAACATTGAACGAAGGTTTTGCTCGCATTTGTGATGACAAGCGACATACGCGGAAATGGCAATACTCGCAAAAAATAAAACCGTTGAAAACGCAGATTTGGCATTATCATTGCCGCTTGTATCTTGCTGATACTTCGAGGAGGCAGATTGAAAAGGAGATCGATTCTCTTTTTATACGAGAATTGGCCAAAGCGATTCGAACATAAAGAAAATAAAAGCGGATAAAACAGCACTCTCGATTATTTTTCGAACAATTTCCTCGCAATATTAGCGATCTCTGTTTATCTAAGAGACATTTTATTTTTCAACTAGCAGAATTTTCATTTCCATGATTGTTAAACGAGTAATACGTTATTTAAATAATTAAAATTAAATGAAAATATTTTCGTTGCGTTTATTTTTTATCGGAAATATTTCTTTTACAAAAAAAATGTACTGGATTTATGTATAAAAATATAATATTTGATAATTTTCTGTAAAAAATACAGCATAACAACGCACGCCCTTGTTTGCACACATACTCGGTGGTATGTCAAAGAAGCATAATAGGATATAGTCCATTACAACAAAAGCCAGAGGAGAGAAAATGGACAAGGATGGATACGCAAAAACATACGAAAATATTATAATCGGTCTTCCATTAATTCCATTGTTCGTATAGGAAGAAATATTATTCATCAATAAAGCTCTTATTTTGGCAGTCTTGGATAATAGTTCCATTCAGGTTCCTCGTAAAGTTAATTTATACATATATAAAGATTAAAAAAATTAAAAAATCAGAAAAATCTATAAAAATAATTTCTCTCTCTATGTTTCATTTCATAGTTTCATGTATATATATAATAGTTTAAATTATAAAGCGATCGATAACCTGCGAGATTAATAATAGACCAATTTAAACGCAATATTGTATGCCGTATATAGATTGTCATTATTTAATTTAATGCTTCTATAAACAGTCTAGTCCATCTTATGTAAAGATGTGGTTTCATAAAGCGTCGCGACTAGAAATTATCAGAGCGATTCAAGTAGCGGTACGTAGGTGCAATCGATTTCAAATTAAACATGGAAGAGGAGTAGCGTACAACAGACGCGCGAGAGGAAGTAATCGTGGCAACCTTGTCGTGCTACAACAATAATTGCGACTATAGTCCAAAGTTTGCAATTGAAGTTTGCCGGATATGTCTTAACGGTAACGTCGCGCCTCGCTTTACACGTGTCGCACGCTACACTCTCAATTATATTCTTGCGATGCAGCTTTGTTTTGCTCTTCAAAAGAATTCGAAAGAAAATGCGCGAGACTTGGATGATAGATTACACGGTCGGGACATTTCTCGTTCGAATTAAAATAACATCACAATCGAGATCTATATATATATATCGAGTAATCTCGTTTGTCGCTTTTATTTTAACCTCTGTATCTATGACTGCTGGATTACGGTATCTCGATGTGTATGTTCAAGCAGTTAGAGGTCAGTTAGCCTCAAGTGTTTCTTAGCACGATATTCATTATATGCGTGCGATGAATGTTTTATTCGCGAAAAATTGTAATAGAGTGTTCAAAATGATTATAAAAAATCAATCTCTCGATGTTACACAATTCGATCATCTTTTACACAATGAAATCATAAATGTATAAAAAGTTTTATTTCGAGTATACACAATATCTACACAAAATGAAATTCATGAAATTAAAAACGTAGTAATTTTCTATTTTCTTAATAATTAATAATAATGGCTTTTTGATAATATATACATGGAACTAATTGGAGATGCTCGTTTCATGTATGTAAAGCTATATGGCTATATAACATATGTAAAGGCCAAGGCGGACACATGTCGTATATATATGTACTTGTCATATCCTATCTATATGTGATATTTACGACGCGATCGACCACGCCCGGGTCAAAATAGAATTCACGAGTAGCACAAAACTACGTACATGTGTTTGTAAACGTCTCGTTTTGGAGTTCATAGCCGATGCTAGACGTAGCGAAGACGCTGTATTTTTGGCAACAGGCTGAATGCGTCGCGGCAACGATTCGCGTCCGAATGTCGGAAGCTATCAGGAAGTTCTCGAATGACATTAAAAGTTGGACCGCTGTATTTCTTCCGACACGACGAGAAGTACATTTATTCGGAATAGTCGGAAACTAGATGAAGTCGGATTTTCGCGCGAATCGAATTTCTATGAAGTCGAACTCCCGGAGAATCGGAAAATCGCAATAAAATTATAATACGATACGCTATTTTAAAAATCATCTATCCGAAATATTATGACAGATGAAATTTCATTATCAATAATATAATTTCTCTCTCGGGAACTTATATATTAAATTATTAAGTTAGTGTTTTTTGCGCTTACGCAAACAATTATTTTTCTGTTTACAGAAAACGTTTCCCCGACATCGTCGACTAAACATTCTCGATCACCATCGCTCACCCGAGAAAAATCCCCGTGAATAAGTAACAACGCGAGGACATCGCATTGGAAAACAGGGATTTGTCGGGACTTGTCGAAAAAGCGCGCGATCGAGTCTCGAGTCTCGAGGTGCCTCTCATCCGTGAGATAGCACGGAAATGCCTAGCCCGAAATGATGATGTGACTGTCGGCAGTCGACGTCCCGCATTCGGCCCATCTCTCCCGAGGGATGTCCTCCTCCGCGGGTACCGCCTGCACGGACGCCGAGGAGGACGCCGAGGATGTGGAGAACGACGTCACGGGTACATCGGCGCAATCGTCACGTTACCTGTCGTTGTCGTCGTCGTCGTCGTCGTTGTCGCGAATTCGTCACCGTCGCCGCGCGAGCGATCACTTGGAAGGATTGCGGTTAGATGGGTCATCGGTCGTGCATCGTCCGCCATCGTCCGACGACACTTCCGGGAGCACCGTCGAGGACACGCGCCCATCGACGCCTCGGGCGCGCGGATAAGAAGAGGAGGGGTCTGTCTCGCTCACCGCGATCGCCAACAACGTATGTTGTAATCGTCCTCGAGGGACGACGACCAGGTGGATCGATCGACGCCGCATTCCGATCGATCATCCTTCTCCACGGCTCGATTGTCGGCCACCTCCGGCCGATACTCATTTCGAGCGGATTCGGCGAATCGTCCGTTTGTCCCCGCAAACGACTGACGTCGGAACCAGTCGATATATCGACAACGACAGTCGTCATCTTTGACGCGGAATCAAGAAAGTCGGTAAACGAGTTCGTCGAATCGAACCGCCGGCAGGCACGTGCGGCTGGAATTCCGAGCAAGCATCGAGCGTGCGAATCGATAAGTGAATTCGAGGCGCGCTCGAAGGTCCTCGAAGAGCCAGGTGGACCGTCGACTAGCAGCACGTTGGTCGCTGAGCGGTCCTCTGGGTCGATAGACACGCTAATCCCGTCGAGCATCGCCGGCTTCCCCGTTCGATCGTATTCAATCCGATTGGTAAAATCGATCTGGGAGAATAATAGGATAAACCGATTGACAGGAATCGTCGTTGATCTCGAGAAACGATTTCCGATAAACGCTCGACCGAGTCTCTTGTTTCATCGACTGTCAAACGAGCAAACGATTACACGCGTCGGACATGTGTCGATTCTTCTGAGTAAATCGATAAATCAGTTTTTCCAGCCGGCCATCCCTAAGACGATCGAATCCCACGAAACGATTCGCTTCTCTTCCGCATCGTCCTCGAGGGAATCGTCGATTCTCATAGCTGCCCCGGTTCGAGTTACCGCGATGACGTGCAGAAGGAGGACGTCATTCAGGTGACGAAAAAAGTCGTCGATCCCATCCCCGTTATCGTTTATCGAAAAATTGAAGACTATCCTTCGATCGGCTATTTAATGGATAGCAAAGGTGGTGATAAACGACACGAGGGTCCACGACAAGAGAAATCTCCCGAGGGATTCGAGGCCTCTTTCGTTTTTCGTTACTTTGCCCGCCGAAAGCTTCGGATTTAGAAATTGCTTCAAAACGAAATGTCAAAAAAAAAGAATCTGAAATTTGTCCCTAGTGCCACAAGCAATAAAGAGTGCTTCGATTGATTTGCCGAACAAGTGATGATGGGAAACTATTGGGCGCTTTTTTCATCGCTCAAGAGTGCCGCGAAATTGTGAAATTTATTTGAAAACTGAGCGTTCGCTCTGCGAAGAGGGCTGTTGGTTATTATACAGTTATGCAAAATCGCATCGAAACTCGTACGCGTTTCGTACTTATCTCGGACTAGTGCTTGTGTTGGACAGTTCTCGCGTGCGCGCGCGCGCGCGCGGGTATCGATCTAAATGAATCACGATGATGAATCGTCGCGTTCGAGCGACATCGCGAACGAATTTGAGTGCGTGAGGTGTATCGTCGCTTTTACTACACGTTATCGAGAGAGATACTCATCCGAGGTAAGATTACCGAGCTAAAAGCTGCGAGAAGAGAAAAAGAAAATACGAAAGATTTTCATCATGTGTCGCGAACGGCTTGAGATCATCCTAGCCGGTACAGGCTGGCCGAGATCCTGATAGCCACCGCAGCGACCAGGATCCGGGACCATTCAACGAAGAAAGGATGCCAGGGGGCCGCAGGGGCCTGGTAGCCCCTCAAAACACGTTCCTGGAGAACATCATACGACGCAGTAGCAGTCAACGTAAGTTTTTGCCCTTGTGTCTTATTATCTTGTTATCTTGTTGTGTCTTATTATCTGCATACATTTTGAAAAGTATACATTTTTCAAAAAGATGATGTAGATTCCTCGGCTTGTTTTAGTCGATTTTTTTTTAGCGAAAATGTTGAGACATGTTAATTAATAATTTTCGAATTATATGCGATTGAAAAACAAGTCTCTGTTCATGAAACAAAGAGAGCCTCAAACGGATAATAAGATATCCCTTAACTAAATTTTAGATAGAGTTTAATGGAATTTTAGTTTCATTTCAAGTTTAATTGCAAAGATATACGCTAAAAATTATTAAAGTTGCGATAAATGATAATTTTCTGACATTTTCGCTAAGAAAAAAATCTAAATTTGATAAGGAGTTTTTATCAAAGAATAATGAAGGAAAAGTGAGATATTCTGTACAATTAAAGCTTCGGAAAATCGTAGGCGTCGAGAACTTTTTAATTTACGATCGTAATATGAGTGACAGAAGTGGAAAAGTGGAAAACTTTGTTATTTTCAGCAATAAGAAATTATGGATCTAATCTCAATCGATACGATAGAATATTAATTAATTGTATTCGGGGCAACAAGATGCACATAGTGACATAAATTATTATTATACGTATTTAGGAGGTTTAAGGACATAAATTATTAATTTTACGTAAATCAATATCCCTATTATATAATGTCGCATTATTTCGCAATTATTCTCGAATCCCTCAATCATAATTTTGCTATTGTTACGCGGATTTTATTGGTGCTATAATATTTCATAGAAAATATTGCTGCACTGCAGATTCAAGCATCATAAATAAACCTTTTGGCAGTTATGGAAGGGCTAAATCAAGCATGTAATTTGATATCGATTTTCCTAATTGGAATGCCTCGAATTTCCGGAATCTGTCGGAATTCTCTATATTCATATACGTTCAAAAATAGCAACGGCAGTCAAGCGGATCGTAAACGAAGGCGAATCTGTTCGATTATACGTATATTGACTCGGAGTAATGTATTGACTTACTCGCGTTTCTGGAGAAGAAAGTGTTAGGTACGCGCTCAAAGCGCGTCGTGTACAAGTAAATTTCAGGCTACCTTACGTAACGGTCGATGGATCTTTGCGGACCAAGTTAAAACTTGGAGTTAATTAAAAGTTCGGAACAACGGTCATTCAAATTTCGTCGCGTTTGTAATTTTGTTCTTATCGTTCCCACCGGTAAAATATCGAATGAATGTAATCAATTATACGTAACGTCATAACTTTATCTTTACAATTTGATTTTTTGTCACCAGAGAGAGAAATTTAACAAAGTTGTGTATAACATAATCTAAGATATAATATTATGTAATATAATTTTATAATAATTTTATATATAATATAATTTTATATCATTCTCTCTCTCTCTCGTTTGGCGCGAAAGTAATAAGCGTAAAATACAGTAAACTAAATCTCTTAATAAGGTAATGTATCAAAAGTCGAGTTAAATCCGATGAGAAAATTATGAGAGCGTGCATCCCAAAATTACATTAAATTAAATGGCGAGGCGATTTCAGGAATAACATGCCGAAAAGTTACGCTCACTAATATAATAATGTAAAAGTTGTAAGAGAATTATCGTATTGTGAATTATTGGGAGAAAGAGACTTTTTTTATCCATTTATCAATCGTGAGACGGGGGTTACATGCAAAGTTGTCTTCAGCGAAATTTCTACTCTTCTATGCTTCTGACGACGACGTTTGTCATGTTTACGCGAGGTATCGAGAGTGGCTTTTTTTGTCGCTTTTTATCCGCAGAACCTCTTAAATTTTCTTCGACATGGAAGACCGAAATTTCCCCCATGATTTTTCCGTAAGGACAATAAATCCTATCGGCTTTTGCCTTCAGGTGCTGCGCACACCCACGGATCCGACGTGTGTCAGTGTGCCTCCTGTCATACCATCTCGTGTCATTGTCTTTTGACGACACTTTTTTTCTCGTGGATGAGAAAGATTTATTCAGAATACATTTCTCTGGAAAAATGCTTTGCATGACGAGATAAACAAGGATTAGGTTCGCGTAGCGTATAAAGTCATCACACCATCGGTTTTTTCGAAAGAATTACTCGATAAAGGTTTATCGATTTTCGAGGTAGCTCGTGTGGCAATTGTTACATATCGATATAAAAAATGTGATATTTTCGGACACTATAACAATTGATATAGTCAATCGTTTTATATATATTAATTAATATCTATATAAGTACGTATACAATTATTTATTAACACACACATGTAACATACGGTTTCATTAACGAACGTTATCCTTATAATTGTTAAATATTCTCTTACGTGTTTTGTTTAATTATTTAAATACATTTAATTATTGAAAATAAATGGTAGCATCACTATCGTTTCGATTTCCGTTCGATCGACAAATTGGTTGCGGTAAAACGCGATTAAACGAATCCGATTTTACGCGAGGGAAAAGCTTGTATCGGGCTGGATGCGAATGAAAGGGATAGCAATTACGGGAAGATATTTACATCTTTATCCCGGAAGCAGAGAGACGTCACGGTGTATTACAAACATTGGCTACGGCCGTGGTGCAACAATAACGCAACGGCGGTTACTCGATAGAGCAAATTATTAACGGCAACAGCGGCGGTGCATATTTTCGACGAGCCACTGCCCCGGAAGTAAATTACACACAAAACCGATGATTTCGATTTACGCGGGCACGCTCGCAAATACGACGAGTAAAACGAATATCGACGACAACGGCACAGGTGCGCTATACCGCTCTGTCGTTATACCGCTTTGATGCATTATCGTGATTGAAAATCATCAGAGCCGGGTGAAATGATCCGCTTGCGACACACGACCTCGAGCAGAGGGTTCGAACCTGCCTATCCTCCCCTTCTGCGCGCGCTCGTTAGTCAAACCAACGCCAGCTACCTGTCGATAAACACCGTACAAAACCGACGTTTCGTGGAGCGAGGGAGTGGTGACCAATGCCTGCCGTCAATACGTGTATTATATATTAGATCGGTGAAAAAGCTCCCTCCTTTCCCGCGCGCCAGCTTTTTACAAATATCGAGAATAAAAGCTGTTAAAAGTGTTTGTAATACATAGTGAGTGCGAAATTGGCAAGCTTATTTGCAAGAAAAGTGTATATTAGTTCGCTATATTGATTTCCTTTGATTGCTCTCTCTCTCTCTCTCTCTCTCTCTCTCTCTATATATATATATATATATATATATATATATATATATATATATGAATTTTTTGTAGCCTTTCTCACAAAAATTGAGAATAGGATAGCTTATCTATTATATTACGGACGGATTAAACATTTGTATAAAGTGACACTTAAATCGTTTATAATTTTCTCTTTTTAAAGAAAGACGAGATTTTTATTTAATTATCGTTATGTTATTGTTTCTTTTATTTAACATGTCAGGTGAAACATTATGTCCAACCTAGTGAGGCAAATCCTGTGGATTTGTAATTTTCATATAATATTCATGGCACGCGTCGATGCAACGCATCGATGACGATAATTTGTGAATTAATTCAACCGTCACAATCCCATCAGTTATTCAAAATGTTTTTTATATCGATTAGCGATTCCTGTCAAAGCAAATTTATTATTCATTAAATTTAGCATTTTAATCGTCGTAAATGAGCGTAAATATTCAGAAACAATCGCGATGGTTGTGCGATTTTTGTTAGACGGAGATTCGTCGCGACGAACAAGAGAAGACAAATGAGAACTATTAAGCGACGGAAAAAGTAGTAGAATCTTATTGTAAGATTTTATGGGGGCGAGGTGAAATATATGACCGGAAGAGCATACGCCGAGAGGAAACGCCTCGTCCTGAGAGATGATTGTGACAGACGACAGAGTTCAGTTACCGTATGTTTTACTTGCTACTAGCTTTGAAACTCGGGGAAAGTTGGAAAAGCGTGCCATGTGCCGTCTATATTTAGCTTATACGACGGTGGAGTTCACGGCGCCGTTTTTACACTCGCACACTACTTGCCTGTAAATAAAGGGGATTTACTACTATCTCTCATCGAGCTGCACCGCTATCCATCTGTTCGTTATTCGCTGTTCCCTTAAGTCTTTGCGTTTTATCATGCCATTTGCAGATTTGCATCTCTGCAAATTGTAGATTCTGGCTCGTATAAAGAACGACTCGTAATAAGATTCGCTATGGCCAGAGAGATGCGACATGCATCTCCCTCTAATTATAATTATAAATAATATTTATTAATGAAATAAATAATCATTACAATTAATTAATGATGCAACTCGATCAAAATATAGTTAGAAAATATGTCGCAATATAATATGTAAACAATTTATTTAATACATGTAAATTTAAAATACGTAATTAATAGAATGCGCGCTAATAGAATAATTGCCGACATAATGTAACATTCATAATGTAACAAATCACATCATTGTAGATACATATTTTACCCTTTTGTATGCATCTTTTATTTTAAAATTATGCAGAATCCCCGTCCCGGCAATTTTAAAGAAACTTTCAAACTTTATACGACGATATCTCTCTTCAACTATTCTAACGCTCGCGATCCGAGGATTACATCTTCTTTCAATTTCAGACGACGAGTCGCAAGGATATCTTTCTTCTTCCGTTATTATTTAAGACATTTTACAGATACCATGAAAAAGAAAAAGCACATTTTCATTAAATTGCATTCTTACAAACTGATGTAAAAGAAACTCCATTCTTAAAAACTTTTAATTCAAAATTTGAACCATCTCCTTGATGGAAAATTCCTTTGGATGTAAGCCATTAGAATTTCGATTATGATGAATCGAGAAATTTGGCAAATTGTTTCTTTTACATGATCTCATCGATATTGCAAGTGTCGAAATGGAATTAAAAATCCATCGATGTATTGAATTCATCGCTTCTCGATATCTTTTCCTTCGCAATTTATTTTCTAGCTAGCAAAATTTACAAAGAAAATCTACAGT